ACACACACACACACACACACACACACACACACACACACACACACACAAGTCGACACAAGTGTCGATTTTTGTTTTTGTTATTGCCAAAAAAGAAAAATAAAACGTTTGTGTCGATTTGTGTCACTTGCTGGAAAGCTCCCATAAATGGAAGGGGAATTGATCATCGAGTCCAACATCGTGCGAGAAAAAAATGTACATTGTGCGAGACAGAAAGGTAGTGGATCTCAATCGCCCGCAATGCGCTTGCGCATATATCGTCGTGGTTACTTACTGTTTGGAAAGAGAACAAAAGAGAAGTTACTTTATAACTGTTTGAAAAGAGAAAATAAGAGGATTTCGAGGAAAAAATGGTTTCGAGTGATAGCACAAACTTCACTCTGAAAAACGCTACTTTCGCCCCTTGGTGCACAATATACTATTTTGCGAAATGTACATTTCACGATAATAGAATTATGCCTATGTTTTAATCAGATAGTATTGTGAGATGCAAATTATTTTTTATTTTTCTCTATCTTTCCAAACCCGGAAATATTTCTCAAACATCGCAGCTTTGCAAAATTACTGTTACATTACATGTCTCATGTTTCTCTCATTATGTGTGTCACGTGTTCATATTATTCATCATTTTTTCAGATGACACAGCCACAAAGTTTTTGGCACTGCTTCTGATCCTAAAATGTCTGTCAATTATTATAGACCGTAAATACGGTCGCATAAGTCGTACTTTAAACTATTGGGTGCTATATGGTATCTGTGGATACGCTTTAGCAAGAATCATTGATTTCAGCCATGGAAGTAATCATACTTTAGTTCTTTATCGAAATAATTTAATGAAACAATATATATTTAATACAACTTATCTCTTATAACTTACCTCTCGAGAAGACACGCGCGATCTCTAATGACCTTTGTCTCTTTCAGTCAGCATCCTGATAGGTTTGATATGTACTATAATTAATATGATTGCCACGCCATGCTGTGTTAGCTCATTGAAGGACTTATTGCGATGTAGCCGATGTACCATGAAATTGTTACGCAATATGACATTCATGTTGATATCCGCAGGCATTACATATCATTTCATTCCATCAGGTACGTATTATGTCTCAACCGCGTTATCGTTACTGCATAGCTTGCAACGATATTGCAATGAGGAATATATTAACAGTCAATTCCTTTTTTCAAAGAAACACTTTTCGTACCTTTTTCCTCGCAAATAGTTAATTTACATTCTAACTATCACGTCCAGTGCCACAAGTGCTAAAACGCGTCGCGAAATGCAACACAGGATACACTCGACGCGTGAGGATAGGGAAACGAAGGCAGAAATTGTAGGTACCTAGCCTCTCCACGCCGCGGTGCTCGCGAAGGGCTGTTACGAATTATAGGAAAATAATGAAAGCCAGGCTTAAAAGCGGAGGGATAGAACCGTGCTGCGCCGCCACCCCGAAGTTAGTTCGAGTTTGGCGAAGGGATGAGAGGCGCACAGTCAGTTTCTCCCCGTAGCTTCTATCAATGCTGGCCGCTCATGTGGAACCTCGCCCGCTGAATCCCCCATGCAGAAGCGGCATGGCGCGCATTCACGTTGCCTCCCACCTTACTCACCATAACGCCGCGACTACCGGCGTAGTCACTACCCTTCGTCTACCCTTGCCTCGGCACAAACGCAAAAATATGTGCCCGTCGCCGCCGCGCTGCGCGCGTGATACGCGCGTGGACTCACACGCGCGCGCGATGCTGATCTACCCTGTCGGCGCGACTCCCACGTTACGGTGTAACCAGCTTGGAAGATTCGCATTTACCTAATTGTGTCCCCGTTTATTTATTCTGCGCCAGGGCCTATTTAGATTACGCGATGCATGCATGCGCAACTGCACCGGAGCGACGAATCGGGGCCCAATTCTATATTCCGTCGACAGATGATCGTGATCGCTGTTTACTCTAGGCCGACCGCTTTCACTCCGCACGCCAGCATAAAATGGACGATTATGTTGTATCTGAGCGTCTGTTAATTGGACTATCGAAATTTTCATGCGCGATAGCGACATATGTTGAAATTACTAGACAAATGTGTGTGTACACTAATGCATAATTTATTATCACTTTCTTATAGCATATTATTATATGATCGTATACCTGGATAATGGTTCGTTCTCCGGTTCGTTCTGGCTTATGGTCATGATCATTATACTTTTAATAATCATAATTCTGATGACACTGACCTATATGGAACTAAAGTTTTCCCATGCCATAAATGTTTTCATTTATAATAATTTGACCTGGCTTATATGGGTGTTTTCCATCGGAACTTATCTCGTATTGGGCGGGTACAATTACTATATCGAAAGTAGTAATAGTACTATCATAATGAGGAGGGTAACCATACCTGGATATCATTTAGCCTGCATATATCCACTTCCAGTTTCACGTATGTCTTTGTTATTTTATTTCATGTAAATATAACTCGATATTACACTTTATTGACCAAATCTGTTTTCAGATGTAACTTTGATATTGTTCTGCTTTAGTCCGACAATATTGCTATTGACTTATCAGTGTGCTCTTTTGCTGCCTACCAATCATAAGAAGAACAAGACGAATAAGAGCAAGCCTAAGAAGGTTCAGCTTAAATGTCAAGTTCATATCGTCAAGATTACTTAAGTCTTTAAGATTCATTAGTTTACAGTTTCCAGAATAATTATATAATTCTGTTTGTTAAAGATTGATTCAAGTCGCAAAAATTTCAGTTGATAACGTATTTGTATAAGTATCCCTTATATAAAAAAGCGGTGTTAAATCCATATTTATCCATCCATTCCATCCGTATCTAAAAAAGGCATGTAAAGTCAATACTCGAATCTATCGAAGTTTATTGTTGTCGATTTTCCGCGATGTCCACGATGTTCTCTCGCTGCGCTTACTTCATAAGCAGCTGTCTGTCATCATATATTTTGATAGACAGCTTTTGTGTGTATCAAGGAATTAATAGTGTAATAGTAATAGTGTAATGTTAAATCTAAATAGCGCGAGCAAAACGCGTGTGTGTAATGTGTAGTCTTTCTAAAAAAGGTATGGAAAGTTTATTGTTGTGTCTTCCGCGATGGCAAGTAAATCCATTTTGAATGTAATGTGCTGTTTGTTTAATCAGAGTGCGCGCGGTAGCGCCCGTAGAGTTCTAGTAGATATAAAAATATTATACAAACCTGTTTTCCTTATCGTGTTGCTCTAAATATTAAAATAAAATGTGATATTTTCTTTAAACAAGATATAAACGCTTAATAATGACGCATAACATTTATATTATACTTTTGTAGATATGGATCCTTAATATGTAATTTTTTTTATATTTTTTACATAAAAATTTTATTTTTGTTTAATAACCGCGATGTTCGTTTTCTAATTTTCTTTTTACGGAAATGAATTAAAGTATTATAATTAATAGTCGTGAATTACATAAAGTTGTGCAGCATTATTAAATATTTAATTATGTATTGTATGTGATTATATGTATGTTTTTTAAATATTTTTTTAGTATTGTGCAATGTATTATGATCTATTATATAAGAGCTTACATAACGTTAGTGGATATAATATTATAAATGTGGCATATAATATTATAAATGTGGAATATAATATTATAAATGTGGAATATAATATTATAAATATGGAATATAATATTATAAATGTGAAATATAATATTATAAATGTGGAATATAATATTATAAATAAAGAATTATGATTTGGCATTAAAATGAAATAACATTTATTGAATCGAGACAGTGACACCTAACAGTGGTTCTCTATTTCCTACTACTTACAATCTTAAAGTTAATCACAGCAACAATATTATCTCATTTATTCACAACACTTACATAGATTACTGTCGCAATAATATATTATTCTCATTAATAAATTTGTTAATACTTATATATTGTAGTTGTTATTAGTAGTATCATTACAGATAATAAGAAAGTCGCGTAACCACTTCCGCGTAATGTTGGTTGTGTAACGATTAAAGCATAATTTCGCCGAAACGCATTTCACATGCATAAAATTGCGGTAACGTTCAATTCGCAAAAGTTCTATTCAAACGCAGATTTACAAAGGTAACGTAATAAATGAGAAGTACTTTAATCTACTATTCGCGAAATGCACAGCCTGTTGCAAGTGCAGCGCCTGTTTGCGGAGGATCTTCGTGCAGACGTATATAATACGCAACCATTTAGTGGATGCGTATTCAATTCATCCTGGAATATTTCTTCGAGTAGAGCAGTAATAACATCGATAAAGTAACAATTTATTTTTTCAATTTTATGTCATTTTTGTAAGTACTGAAGAATTGCATGTGCCGCATTCAGAATTTTGATAGATTAATTCGTTCTTTAATTAAAAAAAGAAGAATTAATTAATGTATAAATGTGTGTAATAATTTGAAAAATTTAATTAACAAAATGTCCAAATTTATTCACAAAAAGATGTCAGATATTCCAGTCTACTTCGGATCCCTGTGAATTCTTTGAATTGTGGGCGCTTTACATCTTTCTTGTGTGTTTATCTCTTTCTCTATTTTACTTTTGAAATTACATATATATGCGCATATGTATACATATAAAATGGTAATATTTATACAGATAACAAAATTATAAAACATTTTATAAATCTAACACAAGGAAAGAGGGAAAGATTCTTTGTATAAAAGAATTGTATATGTTTAATTTAACGTTGGAAGAAGTTCTTTAAGGATTCTTTTCACGCTGAATGAAATTTCTATAACAAGGAAGTGGTATTGGCTGATTCAAATAAAAGTTGTCTCGAACTGGAGTTTATCGTCGCGAGATCGATTTTACATCAGTGCTACGTTCAAATGGCACCGAAGAATTTCCAGCGTTTTTCAATTCACGCTGCTTTTATTTTCGTTTTCTTCCAAAAATATAAATTTACTAATGTACACAGTACACTCTCCATTAAGTGCTCTTCACGTATAAACGTTCAACAAGTTTACACGAGCTCTACGTGACCGTGTAAATGCCGACGAGAAACGAGCGACGCGCGACGCGCGACGCTGCTCCGACTGCGGCGTAATTTTACACATACTTCACACGTTACTGTTTAACACAATATATATCGTCCACGGTTATCTATTGGCTGCTGATTAATTGTAGAGAGTTCGTCACCTACATTTATTACGACACGCGTTGTCGATAAAACGATCGTTACGCGTTACGAGAAAAAAAAGGGGGAAAAACGCATGCAAATATTCACATCGCGACAGAAAATATCAGCATACACACAATGCCGATGCCTCCTGAAAAAACCCGCCGTCGAGTTCTGGAACGATAAAATTCGAAAATATCGAGTCGCTGTTTTCACGCCGTTTTTTCCACACCTACGAATCAGTGACTAATTATTCGACGCGATCGTGCGGCGCGACTCAATTACTAAAAAAACGTGCTACTCTCCCGTTAGGTGGTGATCGAAATGCATCGATTAAATGGATCACACGTATACACGTTCATTGAAATCACACTAAGGCCGCCGCACAGGTGGTTGACATTTTCTCCTTGCGATTTTTTTCCAAGTTATACCATCTAGTTTTATGAATAATAGAGAGAGAGAGAATTGCCAAATTTTTATCTTTATGATTACTGAAATTGTTATTGTGGGAAACTCCACAATGTAAAGTAATAATATATCGCTCGTAAAAAGCTTTAAAATAGCAATAAAGGCAATCGCTTTATTCGCAGGATTACTCTTTTAAATAATACGTATGAAATATGCGAAATTCCTGTATTTTTTTCGCATTCTTGTCGGTGATTAATTTTACACTGTATCTTGTTTATTGGGATCCGTTCCAAAACTCGTCTTCGAACGAAAAGCTTATGCGTTCGATACGTCTCGCGAAATGAATAGGTGAATAAATGTAGGCTCAGATCATTTGATTTTATTCAAGTTCTGCTGCTGCACGGTGTAAGTAACGGAGTGTCATCATTTCGGTGAGGGAAAACATTGAATATACACGGATAAGATGTTGCGTTAGTTTATAAGGTGTGATACGATTCGAACGTAACTGGAGAATTCGTCTAACTTATTTACGTATATATACAGTGATAATTATTTCTAATTTACAGTTTACTGGTTTAAAGAGAGTAACAAATGCTATCTTACAATTATCTTTATACAGCATAATCGACAAGTATGTGCTTCGATCGTGTGCGCGGTGACGATCAACGAGTTCGATGCCAATAAGATTTCTCGTTTACTGCGAGCACCAATATTCGCGATTCGCTCGGAAGGACGAATCCGCCTCCTCGGTCCATTTAGCTCAGCGATACATTACATTAATAGCAATAAATACCGACGCAAACGTCCATGCTACTTGCCTCCTTCGGGCATTACTGTGACACTTACGAAATCCTCCCTATGATTACGTCGGTTTATTCCTCACGACCTCACACGTCACTGTGCCTTCATTATGGTAATAACGATGGTACAAGCTACGGATTGGATTGTCTTAATCTAGAATCGTGTATCTTGGACCGGAATGAACATTGTGGGAGAGACGTGTAAATGAAAACTTTTTAAATCGAACATTTCGGCCTGCTATCATTGCTCGCAAATGTGTTGAGTGTAGTTTACGCGAAATTGAAAAAAGTGCTATTCGCGTTTATTGTACGTTAAAAGGGGATCTGAAACTGTAATATTGCTATTCTCGATAAATCTTGCACACTGATCTCGATGAGGTTTAAATCTAGCATAATTTGAAATACACGCGGCGATCTTTATTGCGTGCTCCGGTTGCATTTGCAAAGCGCGACGAACCCGCGCGTGAAGAACCACTCGCATTAATAATAATATAATAACAATATTCTTATCGGATACAACAAGCAAAAAGTACGACTGAAAAAAAATATAAAAAATTGCAAGTTTTATCTCAGAAAAATTTTTTTTATTTAAAAACATAAATAAGGAATAAAAATATATATTATAAATAAATATAAATATATATTAACAAATTATTTCCTTTATATATCTCTGGAATATTTTTCGCGAATAAGTTGTCGATCGATAGACTCTGTTACACAAACGGACACAGACTGGGGCCGCAACATCCTTTCGAGAGAGCGGTGTCTTCCGACGCCATATCTGCCGACAGACACGATGGCCGGCCTCGCTGAAAAAAGCCGCCCTCCAGGCAGCTATCAACCCCCGCAACACCGTTCCCTCCCGCAACGAAATCAGCCTCATCGGGAGACCTACCTACCACCCTAAACTCTCGCGAGAATATATTTCGGCGGGAGCCGCCTACGTGTCTGCGGCTCCCTTTCAATTTCCACGCGGTTCGCGGCCGCCCTTACACGAAGGAAAATATTTGCCGGAAACCGATACAACGTGCGGCAAACAATATGCGCCCGGCGCTATCCAATAAATCCGGTAATAAAGCTCCCCGATACCGAAAAACGAGAGCGCCGCTATAAATTTAATGAATGCTCTTGACATCGATCGACTTCGGGAAACTAAAAGGGAGAATTCGCACATTCGTTGGACAAAGTGAAAAATAACTTTCCCGGCACATTATCGTGCTTGTTAAAAAGATTCTTTTTCAGCAGCAAAGCTATCGGCAGATGCGTGCCAGAGATCATTTTTTAAATTATATGTAACAAATGTCTTAAAGAAATTCCGTTTTTATACAAACGTGCGACGATAACATGTGGTTCTTCACGCGAAAATCCTCGATGTAATGACAATGGTAGCGTAACGTAAATCATTTACACATACTATCGTGAATAGGTAATTACCCTGCGTGACCCGGGGTCATGCGTATACATCTACGAAATCTAGATCAGACATGAAGTGGAAGATGGGTAAAAGTCCATTTGTTCCAGCTCGAATTATAAAACTTATTGCGCTGCCTAGTTTCCGCTCTATGTAATCAGATCGCGTTGGTAAAAAATCTTTTCGTTCAATTTCAAAGAGGATTTAATTACGACGAGCTGCTGCTCCATTACAATCGCCGATGCGGGCGTTGGCAAATTTACAAATTGTTCAAGAAGGGAGGGGAAGCCTATCCTATCTCCTAATTCTAATCGAATAGTTTCGTAGATAGGTATTGCCATTCAGAAAATTGACGGTCGTAAACATTCGAGGACGCGAGTTATTAATCCGACATGCGAGGAAATTACACGATTAATAATATTTAACTCTACGAACAATTAAATAATTGTTCGATCAATCGGAACGTTATAAGATAATTGCAACTGCCATTTATTATCATACATGCTCTCAGCTATGTTTCTTGATAAAAAGACTACCTTTGTCAGCTTGCTCACTTATGGATGGAGAACGTCCGTTAATAAATAAATAATCGCGAAAATAAACTAACGAAATTCTTCAACTTACTGGACAACGGAGAAAATTTTCGGACACTCGCATCGTCATCATCAGAAATTGTGTTCATTCCACGCACAACCGACACTAACTGCGCGTCTTCGATGCGATCGGCGTCACGCTGTCGCGCGAACTATCGAGAGGACGAGCTTTCCTCGTAACGTCTCTATCCTCGCATCTGCCAACGTGGCGTCGCGACAGCAATCGTCACCGTCGGCAGCCAAACGCGAGGAAACACCGCGCCCTGTCTCGGGGACGAGGGATCCACTCGCGACGGTGTCACGGGTCACCGAAAAAATTCAGTCGTTTCACTCACTGGTGTCGGAGTTGTGCACGGGGGTGGTCGCCGGTGTGCTGGGGGCCTGATGCTGCGTCGACTGCGTCGGTATCCCGAGGGAAGCGAGGAGCGGTCGTGGCACCGCGCCCGGGGTGGCGCTCGGCGGCGGCGGGCTCTCCTGGCCTACGAGCAAGCTCGCGGGCGGGAACCCGAAGAGCTGGGATCACTGGAGCCTCGGCCAATAGTTGCCCGCCAGGTCCGGGGTCTGCGAGGGAATCTGCACCGGCACCGAGACGCCGGCTGATATCACGCCTGGAACAGTTCGAAGATGTCGGGGGATTGAGCGCATTTGCGACGACGGCACGAGAGCTGTCGAAGCTCCGGAAAAACGGAACGAGAAGATAAAAAGTAATTCCGAACGGGTGAAGCGCGGTACGAATGGTACGAACGATGTGCTGAACTATATAACGTACGAGAAACACAGAAATCTCATTTTCTAGGAGTATTATTCGACGGTTTCAAAACTGATGGATTATATTCAGAACAAAAATGTAATTATCTTTGCTGCTTAAAATATCACTCCTATTTCGTCCTATTATTATTTAATGATTTATTTCACCACTTTGTAACGCTTCGTTCATTGTCATCTTGATTAAGGAAATACAGTTCTTCCCAGCGACTCTCGACGGTCGCGGCGCGAGCACAGAACGCGTCATTAATCGCGTGAAACGCAGCGGGACTAACTCGCTAAAAACAACCGAGGACGTATTTACGGGAAACGACATGAAACGCACTCGCGAGTGTCGCCCGCGGCGACGGTTGCATAAATAGGATTCGGTTATGATAGCACGCGGCGGCTTCGCACACTTCTGCAATTTGAATTAAACACCTTAACGAGCTACGTCTAATCCAATATAAACTTCCGCGAAAACATTTACGCTCTATGGGGCCCCGCGTCGTAACTTCGTTCCTCGCATGAGCTATAATTATGGCATAAATGCAAGATGGGTAATTTGGCGAGCGTCACAACGAGGACGCGTGCCATAATTACGTTAACCGTGGAACCTACCTTTTATTCGGCTGAAACTTAACGATATTTAGAATATCGATACGAGAATTTACGAACGTATGAAAAAAAAAGCGCGGAATTATCACATTTGCGCTTTTGAAATCTAATAATTCAATCATATCGAATCATGTTTAATTCAAAGGCAATCGATGTCGTAAAACAATTTCTCGGCCACGCGACTTCTTAGATTCTGACATTCAATTGCATCTTGGTAATCTCCCGAACTCCATCTTCGACTTCATATCCGAGAAACGCTGTCACCTCGATGGCGAGGGGGATTAATCGAATATCCGTGACTTTCTCGTTCACCACGTCCGCCAACTGCGAGGCAAACTCGCGCGGTTACGCTCGTTTCCGCGGTCGAACCCCGCGCTAACTCCAGGGGGGGGGGCGGCTACTTAACTATGAAAACGGCGCCGTTTGAGCCGGCAGGACAGGCGCGGCGTTAACGAGCGCGGTGAAAGTCCTTACGGCGCTCGTGCACGTAAAGCGATTATGATGGATAACCCGCGGCTCGTTCCGCACGTAAGGAGCAGGACCACGCGGAGAGAGAGAGAGAGCAGGAGGAGTGGCGGGAAAACGAGAAGGAGGAGGAAGAGGGGGGCGAAAGAGCGGAAAGGAAGAAAGACGATCGCGAGAAGAGTGTGCGAGACGGCGAGAGGAACAGCGGGGTGGGACACACAGTGCGCGCGTGTTCCGCAGTATTCCACCATTCCGGCTTGTGCTCCGCTCCGTTCCTGTAGGTACGCCGCGCACCCCCGTATTTCCTCCCCTTTGGGTTCGCACGTTATTGAGCGCTCGCCCAGCCGAGGCGAGACCCAACCCATCCACATCCTCTGTTCACCCCTGTATATCCTCAGGAGGGAGAGGAAACGAGAGAGAGAAAGAGAAAGAGAGACGCGGAGAAAGAGGCGAAAGGGAGCCTGGCGCGGAGGGCGACGAGAGGGACGGATAGATGGATAGACACGAAGGAGCGAGCGCAACCCCCCGAGGGTGGAAGGGTATAGGAGGCGAAGGGGACGAGAGAAAGGGAGAGAAGAGGCGACGGAGACTGTGAGAGGAGGCGCAACCCTCCGTGGCTTTCGCTAAACGGAAGATGAGGGGGTGAGATGTGGAGATAGACGGAGAAAAGGGATAATAGAGGAAGAGAGTTGGGAGAGAAAAGAAAGAGCCGAACAGAGGAGCCAGCCGGCACGTAAAAAAGAGAGAGTGAGAGAGAAGTTGAGTCGAGAAAATGGAAAATTCACCAGCTACATCGGCGGGGTTGGAAAACCGCCGAACATCCCATTCTTCGATTCAGCCCAGCGGCGCCATGCGAGATTTGTTTTAAAATCCTTTTACAATTCCGTGGGCGAGCGTGGAGCCGCGACCGCGTCGTTGCCCGCTCGCTCTTTCTCTCCCCCCCCCCCCCCCACTCTCTCTCTCGCTCTTTCACTCTCTCTGTTAGCAGGACTATGTAGATTGCGTGTGAAGAGGCTCCCAGGTAATTCTCGACGCTTTATTTCGCGCTTTGAGCCGGCTAGAACACGAGGAAGAAACGGCGATCGCGCGCTGGGTGAAAATTGGAAACGAAAACCTCTACTGGTTTTTGGTGAGGATTCGTTCGTTTCATCATTACACTCTCGTATTTCTATATACGTGTGTATTTCTGTACATTTCGTATCGATGAATGCATGGAACTTTAAAAATATAATCTAAACATCTCTAAACAATTGGAAAGTTATAGGATATAATTTTATAGCTGCAGATATGAGGTACATGTGAGGTACATATATATAGGTATAACGCTTTGATATTTTTGCTAGACAATAATTATAATATAAAATTTTTGCTCTTTAAATAATTAAGAACTATAATAACCGATTGCAATGTTAAATGCATTTAATCGGAGGAAAATTAAGAAAGAATCTTTCGAGAGAGAATATTTTGTTTTCAGTGAATGTGTTTCGGAAGACGCATGTACATTTCTTAAGCGACATCGTTGTTGATGATTGCTTCCGGCAAACATTAATTATTCCTAATACTATATACCTAAATTATTCTTGAGTGACCTTGAAAGCACGAGACGCAGGGAACACAGCAAATTAGTCGTGGCGAGAACTCACCGGTTGCGGTCGAGGTCGTCGGCTGGTAAGGTGCTCCACCTGGTCCGGTGGGCTGTCCCCCTGGCGTTGTGGGGGTGCCACCGTGAGACGTCGGGATGCCCCGATGCGGTTGCGAGTGCGCGGCCGCGGCCGCGCTGTGCGCGTGAGAGTAAGACTGCGTGAGCGAGTGGAGAGGCTCGTGAAACACGTACGCCGGGTATCCCTCGGCGCGTTGCTGAAGACAGCTTCCACCCATTGACCCGCCCAGGCTGCTTGACATCGAGCTGCGAATGATAAAAGCATCCATATCGAAAAGCAACCAACAACTCCTCGACAAACGCATATGCATTAACATGCACGAAATGAACTCTAATTATGGTAATGTGTAAATGACATTTGAAAACGCGGAATTTCAGGATTTAAAAGGAAAGTTATTAGAATATTTACATTGAAATGTTGAGATTTGTGTGAAAAGAATTTAACAAAATGTCGGCAGAATGATTTCAATTTTCACAACAATGAATATTGCCGTTATCGAACCGAGATTTATTCTTCTCGCACATAAATTTTGCGTTTGAGGGACAATGCGTATTGCTTTAACGTAAAAAAAAAAATGTTTCTTACCTGTACGTGTCAGGCATAGTGGCAATCGGTTGTGGTATCGACGAGTACATGGCGTTGAATCCGGCGTTTAAGGGCAACCGTGGCGTGGCAGGGGTGGCCGCGGGAGGCGCGGCGCCGCTGCTACCCCCGCTGCCACCGGCGACCACCTGATCGACGGCGGCCCTCCTCTGGTTCCGTAATTTCTCCTCTCGACGCCACTTCGCCCTGCGATTACTGAACCACACCTGCAACCGACACAATGACGGTGCCTTTGTCACGATAAGTGTGCGGCCGCACACTTGGCGCCGCCGCGCCGCGCCGGCACGGTATTTCGCATCATCCGCACTCGTTCGCATTCGCACTCGTTCGCGCTCGACGACTCTCTTTTGCTTCCTCTCCGGAGAGAACGCCCTCACCTTCCCCGAACCACCCTGTTGTCTCGCTCTTTTTCTCTCTCTCTCTCTCTCTTTCCCTGTCCCTCTTTTTTCTGCCTCTGATCCGATCCGAGGTAGCGCGAAATCTAGCGCCCAGACACTCTTTTCGCATCTCGTGCGAACAGACGCGCGAGTTTGCACGAGGCGCTCCAATTTGTTAATTACGATTGAGCAGTTGTCAGACGGGAAATTGAGTTACTCTTGCTCGCTTGGCCCTTCGCCCCGGTCCCTTGTGCATCCTCTTTACATGTTTTTACCTCCCGCCCCTTCGCAAATTCATACGCGTCCCTTTTCAAGCTTCTGATAGTACTACAAATTGCATCGAACCCGATATCCGAGAAAGAGCGTACCGGTAGGTAATTAATACATCGTTACAATCGCTTCAATCTCGCATTAATAGTATCGGGACGAGCCGAAGGTCTGCGATTATTTCTATCTGCGATGCTATTAGATTTTTAAAACGTCGATTAACTTTAACCTTTATACGCATATATTCAATCGATTCCTTGTTTCTTTGCAGAACTATAATTAGAAGAAGATAAAGAGTATACGTCAGAATTATATAAAACTGTGAGTGTAAATGAAACAGTGGCAGTGTAAATGAAAATACTGAAGTATTAATAGCGGCTTCAATTGTCCTTTCACTGTACCAAGGCGATATCCCAAATGGAGAGACTCGTATAATAAAAATCGGGACTTTATCGTTCCCTATATGCTACGTCTGCACGGATTTCCTGATTTTTGTGATTCCTTTCGGCGATAAGAGGATTCGTCCCCTTCGATATATCGGTTTTCCCTCGCCGGCACTTAGAGCAATCCATGAACCGTGCATTTAGCTTTCACCTCTCTTTTCTATATATTGTGATACTGTTCAGTAGCGTCAATTTTACATAAACATACAATTATATGAATTTTGTTGCATTCTTCAATTATTTTCATGTGCAAAAAAGTATTTTAATACTTTCATTCTATACGATTAAACTGTATTGTTCTCGAACATTATGATTACAAATTTGTCCCATAATTCAAGATATTGCATGTAAATGTCAATTGACGAATGTCGTACGATTCTTATTGACGCAGTCAAACGAATCGATCGTTAATCGAGAGAGGAGATCCAAACCTAATAAATTATATTTAATACAGCTGATAATCGTGCGATTACAGCGCAAGCTTCGAAAGAGTAATCTGCACGTTTTCGCATACTAGTGCGCACAGAGATGAAAATAGAGAACAAAGCAATAACGACAATTTCCATTTCTGTCCGATTTCGGTGTAACGAATTATCGCGTGCGCGCGATATACAGGAAAAAAAGAGGGATGTTTTTCGCAGCGGAAAGAAATGTCATCAACGTAGAAATACAAGCCTTCCGCAATCTCACGTATAACGTCGCGCTACGAATATGACGGGGGTCCTCGATTGAATCAAAAAATAAATTCTATCCTCCTGTCCTCCCATTGGCGCAGCAAATCGTGTTCGGCCACCCCACCGTCAAATATCTGCCATTCGCCCGCAGCGGGCTTCTTCCGCCCAATACTATCGTCCCTCGTAAACTCGTCCTCCCTCGTCCCAAAAACTCGTCCGAATCGATCCACGGGAAAGTCCGTGATCCGAACACGTTCGGTCCTTAGTGTTACCTCTACTCAAAGAACACAGTCCTCTCGGCCGTCGTCAACGGCCGAAACGCGCCGCGGAGACCGGTTTCCGACACTGGTTTCCGACCTTGAAACTTTCGACCTTCATTTCACGATGTGCCGACTGGAGGAAGCGTAAGAAATTCGTTCGTTTACACGCTTCGCCGGTACTTTCTGGGACTAATGAAGCGTGCGAACGCTGTCACGCTGCGAAATCTCCCATTTTTACCGATGAAAAGAGATGTAAACGAGAGGAAAATAAACGTCTTTATTCGCAAAAATTGCCTGGCGATATTAATATTGATCACGGCAAATCTCGCGGATATCTAATATATATCCAGCTTTATGATTTATTAATAGCACTCGTTTTATTCGGCGGTATTCCTGGGGGGGCGGGGGGGGGATAAAAATCCCGCTTTAATCCTCGTAGCGTATCAGCCATCGCGCTCGCACGAGTCGACTTAGGGAATGCCGCGGATGATAATCGGCCGGCGACGTGACGGTAGTACGGCGTGGCGAATCTCGTGGCCATGGCCGAGGTATATAGGTGGAAAAGCGAGGGATGGGCCAATCGGAGGGCGACCTCCCTGGGGACACGACCATGGTTGCCATGGTTGCGTCCGAGAACCCTCTTAGGCCTTTTGCACGATCCCTCGCGGTTCGGGCGGGCCGCGTTTACATGCCGCGCCATGCCGCGCCGCGCCGCGCCGTTCCGTGCCGTTCCGTGCCGCGCTGCGGCGTGCCGCGTAATGTGTTCCGTGTTCCATTAGAATTCCCGGCACTTCATTCTTCGTCTTTCACATACTTCGTCGTTCAACGATCGTCCGGCAATCGGTCCAGCTCGGCGATCTCCGCGATTCCCTCTTTCGTCCTCTCCAGCAAGCTCTACTATCTTTTTCTCCTCCATTCTCTTTCATTTTCGCCCCGTCTCGCTCGGTCTTCCTTTCCTTTCTGTCTTTCTCTCCCTCTCTCTTTCTCTCTCTCTCTCTTCCTCGTCGAACTTCTCCTTTTCCCTCCCACGCCGGAACTCCCGGTTTCCTGCACTTAGCAAGATCAATACCAGCCAACGAGGCTTGAAAACATGCGTCAACATGGTCTTGCACTGTTTGTACGTCCACATAACGCTCAGCGCGCCCGGTACTACCACCACATAGAACCCCACCGGCCACTTCGTCGACCCTTCCGTCTCTTCATACCGCGGTGATGCAGGTGAGAGGCGGAGGTAGAAGGTGGAGAGTAAACACGGCCAAACAATGTTCGATAAGGCTACGTATTAGTGGTTCGACGTTGATATTAATTATAATTATACAACATGGCATTTTGCACCCCTTGTACGATTAAAAAGTAAGAGGGTATTATCGAAATAGGAGAGTTGCTAAACAACATCAACATGTATTATGGACGTGGTTGCATACGTAACAAGAACTTAATCGTATTGAAAATAACATGTCCATGTTGCTAATAAATGTTAGAACAGATTGCTGTGGCAATGAGACGAAAATTTAATTGTAACTAACATTGTAATGCAATTGTCGAGTTATTTATAATAAAATGCAGAATAATAACGTAATGAATTAAAACAGGACTCTTAACATAATCCATTGATTCTAGATAGAAGTTAGACAATACAAACATTTAGAGCATAAAAATAAAGAAATAAGAATGAAATAAATGCGTTATGACAATTTAGATATTCAGATGTTAAAAAGTTTTTAACTTTTCAAAAAGTTAAAAACTTTTAAGCTATTTAATTTTTTAATTATCGTGGAAGTTGATATCTACGTTTTTTTTACTTTGATTATCGTAATTTCTCTACCAGTTGCAGCCTTCATCATGTCACATGAAGAATATAAACTTGCTTTGCAGGAAAGCGATGGCGAGCAGAGAGTTCGCGGAAACTTTATAAGGAAACGAACAACGATATTACTCACTTTAAATGCGAGATTTTGTGAGTTTTCCTGATCTTATAATTTAAATGATTTCTTGCTCCGTCGAGATTTCTGTCTCTCGTTTTCCATGATTCTTAGCTTTGTCGATTCAATCAAAGATTCTTCGAATTTGTAGAATTTCAAAGTCCTTCAGAAAGGATTCAGTCGAAATTCAATTATCGTTTCGCAATGTTCAATCTAATAAAACATTCAGACATTTGTATAACTGTGTTCTCTTTCTTCTGCATTCTTATTGTTTATCAAAATGTGTCTCATCTAATAAATCTTGGAATCTTGTACGACGAGAGTAAGATGTGACATGTAAAATTTTCAATACGATTAATGCATTATTATCGGAGAAATGTAGTATGTTCTAGCGCACGTTTCTAAATTCTAGCAAATAAATAAATCGTGCATCTGCCCGTGTCGTAAAACTGACGAGAAAAGTCCCGTGCGCGCACATAAGAATACGTAAATAGCGACGAAGCAGTCGGACGAAAGAGGTGACAAAATCTCATTGGAAGTCTCGCGGGCGGCATCAAGCTTTCAACCGGTCGGAGGTGTTTAATGTTCCCCACGTACGACCACGTGGCCGCACGTTAAAAGCATTTAATGAAAGGGCGTCGTCGCACTTACGCCGTTCGACCCTCCCGCCGGGAGGAACGGGCGGAATAAGAAGAGAGAAAGACGCGCCCGGGGAAAGCGTTGCGTGGGCGAGGGGGGCCGAAGAGAGGAGGACAAGTGGGTGGAGCGAATGTCGGTAGAGGAAGCGCACACACGCCGCATTCGCACATTCACACTCACCTGGATACGTGCCTCAGGTAATCCGATCTTCTCGGCGAGACGCTCCCGTGCAAACACGTCCGGGTAATGTGTCCGCTCGAATTCTGAAACGAAACCAGTTTGCAACAAGTGCTCGTTATTTAGCCGCGTCGTCGGCATTAATTATCGCGATATACACGAAGCTTGCCGGCCATCGCGTATTTTCATTTTTCGCGACCGAGCGGATGCCGGAGACCAAATGGAGGAAGAATCTCTATATATCGGAATATACAAAGAGCTATATACCTGTATAACTTTTTTATATCACAAACGAGTATACAAAAAGTTTTAATTTGAAGCTCAAGTACCAATAAAAAAAAAACTATAAACGAACAAGCATTATGTCCAATTAAATTTAGAAAAGGGGCTCGCAATGAAAAAAGAATCCAGGTCGAAGGACGTGATTTCTCAAGTCGCAAATATCAGAATTGATTATCGAGATTGATAACTTTTTCAGATTTTCTACTGACCTTTCTCGAGGCTGTCTATCTGCTCATTAGAGAAGGAAGTTCGGTTGCGCTGCAATTTCCTCTTCAGCCTCAGCCGCACTTGCGAGTCCTCGTCGCCGGAGGAGTTGTGCTCCGAATTACCGTCCGAAGTTGTCTCCTGCTGATGCGACAATAGAGATCCGGTGTCTGGAACAAGAATTAATTATCTTTCCTTCAAATGTATTATTTCAGCCATCTTAAACATATCTTTCATATTTACGATTACACAATGAGATTTCGTGTTTTAATTGAAGTACAATCATATATCTTATACATAACAACTGTCATTCTGTTTTCTGAACTATGTCAAACGTTAATCATTTTTCCATCGCCTAAAACTGAAATAATAAAGATTAATTGTTCAAAAACTTGGGCAATCTTTCTCTCACATTGTGAGAAGCGTCGCGATCTAATTAAAAAAAGCCTGCTTTTCCGCAGCACATCAATCGGTCGATCCCGTAACGCGATCCGCCGTTCTCGAGATTCCTAGACACCGCCGCGCGTTCAAGCGTGCGCGACCGGTCTTCGGGGTCGCGTCTCGTGTTGGTGCGTCGGTTCGTACGCGCGCAAGGGTAGCCCCTCGTCAAGCCCCGTGGGCCGCGATTACTTTCCGCCTCCGCGCACCACACCCTCGTCTCTTTCCATTCCTCCCGATGCCTTCCCTGCGTCCCTCCGTGCCTCCGCTCTATCCGTGTCCGTCCCTCCATACGGCAGCGGAGAGATGTACATATATACGTTCACCCTTACGCTCGCGCGTACATAGATATGCACATATGTATTACATGTCTATGTAATCTATATTGCATATATGTATATATGTAATACCTATATATAATATATATGTATATGTGTAATACATATACTGTAATATATATATATATATATATATATATACACCGTTCATTCGTCAGCTGCTCGCTTTCTCGTTCGCTCATCTCAACCCCCGCGCAACCCCCAATTGGACTCGACCCTGCGAAACCCCCTCGACTAGAAATACCGGCACCCCAAACACGCCTCTTTCTTTCCCTCCGGTTCTTCCCGCCTGCCTCATCGTTCTACCCATCAGCTCTCCCGTTCTTCTCCTTCCCGCGGAATCCACCCCCAAGCCTCCTCGCGAATACCCCTGCGCGTAACGACCAAACCGGGGAACGATCCTCAGCGGTCCGCTGCAGACGGATCGTTGGCTTTAATTTTCTAGGTGACGACGCACGCCCAGCCGAAGAAAAGAGAAGAGATTAGCCCGATGCTCTCTGCAATCCGGCCGCTTAATACGCCCGCTGTGGCCAAAGTGGCCGCGATCGACCGTTCGATGCATTCTTGTGCATCCAAGTGCACTATAAGCGGCACTTTGACGTATTCAGTAAGGCATATAAACTACTACCTTCTAAGTGGCGACGCGATTTAAGATACACCTGAACACAACTTTTTAAAAAAATTGTTTACAGTCTTGTTTATATTTAACTTATTAGCGTTAGCGTCATTATCGTCATTTAAAGTTATTTAGTACGCCAAGATATACTTTGAGATATTTTAATACAGATATATTAGAATATTTATTCCGTCAAGATAATCAGATTGACATATATAATTGAAAGACGGTCCGCGAAATGAATTCCGAGACTGCGGAAAAGCATCGACGATGATATTTCGAAATCCGCAGAGAATACACTTGCCAGTGAAAGCACTTTTCTACCTGTCACTTTATCACGATTCACGTAATCTGCCTATTGAGGGCGGCCGCATCTGGGTTCGTCATTCGTGGACTGATTCTAGTTAAGAACCGAGCCGCAGGCCCGATTTTCGTGATCCTATTAGACTTATAGCGCTGCAGGATGGACCCTTTTTCCCTACTCGATCGCGTATGTGCGCGTACATGTATTGTACGAGGCGTCGAGGATCCGGAATCGCACAATGCAACGTACATTTCTCGCGAATCGAGGGAGATGATACGAGACAGAGTGCAATCGTTCAAAGATATTTCTTCGAAAGCAAGATCGTATAAATTTTAGTCCGCAAAGAGAAATATTCGTTCGTCGAAGTTTTAATCAATCTGAACTTTAATGTTAAAATTATATATATAAGGAATTATTTTTTTGAAAGAAATTAAGATCATTATAATCCGTATTCACGACATAAAATTATTTTCTGTTTTAATATAGATTTTATTTTTTGTTATTTAAGAGAGATAAACTTGATTTAGATTAAAAGATAAAGCACCAGGAAGGTAAATAAATATTGATCTGCATGATCTTTAAAATTTTAATTAAGATACGACATCAACCAACACCGAGTCCACCTAATATTTCTACAAGTACTTACCGCTTCGCTTCAGCAAAGAATCGTCACGCCCGTGAAGCTGACTACTGGGCAAAAGAGTTTGACCGGATCCAGGAGTCGCCGCGGTTGGAATTCCCGTGGCCAGGGGATGATGGGGAGGTGTTGCCGAATACCACGCTGGCGGCCAGCCTGCTGCCTGCCCGTTAAACATTCTCAGCTTGTCGTAGACGCTCTCGGCACCCTGATGCGCTTGCACCGCAGCCGCCTGTTGCTCCTTCTGCGAGGCCAGGTTCCTGAGTACCCTGTTAATGGACGACACCTACGAAATTTTCAATTAGAATCAATTTGAATCGCCTATTAATTCAATCCTATTGAATATTAAAAAAGTGATATAAAAGATATCGCTAATTATGTTTTTTTCTTGTCCAAATTGCTGGCAACGATTTTTATAAAAATTATAAATAAATTCGTCACCAGCATAAATTTGTTTCGAAGTGTCTTAAAAATGTAGTATACAAATTATTATTATGCAAATTATATCTGTCTTTGTCATAAATTCAAAATTATTTTAAGAAATTTAGCATTTTAATGGTCAGATAACAGAATTTTTAATTAATAATAAGTAAAACTTAGACCGATAAATGATTCTCCCAAATTCACACAAAAATAATAAGCAACAAAGATGCAGCTCGATCGAATATGACATCTCTATTAAAAGAATCTTAAATATTGAATATCTCTAAATATAATTTAGTTAATAATCTGCGTTATCTGAAACTTGGCTCTCCAATGTTAATTAATCTTTAATAATTAATTTATAGTAATTAGTCTTTAATTAATCTTTAATAATAATTCATAATTCAAAAACTATTGAAACAATTATCATTTTTTCTATATAATTTCGCTTCTAATATTCGTAGCTTAGAGAAAAAAACCGAGTAATTCAGAGAAAATGTTGCGTCGCTTTTCGGCACTAATGATACGCGATATGTATCCCTGTGGACAAGATACCTCCATCGTCCATTCCTGATCAAGGGAAAGGAAGATAAAGGCAAAAGAGACCGACGCGGCGGATCGGGGCGAGGCTCTTTGTAAAATCTCGCAACCGCAGCCACTCGTTGTCGCACAAGAATCATTTCCGTCGTCGTAGCCGCGCACTGATTGTCCGTCCCTTGCCGCCGCCCGCGCCCCTTGCGCGGGATCTTTCCTCCTCTTTTTCGTCCTCCCGCAGTCGCAGAATGCGAAGGGGGTCATACCCAGATGAAAGGACACCGCCATCCAATTATTATTACATAAAACGGTTCTCTACGGCTCTTCGTTCCCCCTCCAATCCGGGGGACGGTCGCCGCCGTCATCGTTGTCGTCTTCACCTTACGCCCGCAACCGAGCCACTGGCTAACTCCGAAGTTATAACGAGCCAGCCGTATAGCACCAGGGATCCAAGCATCGCGCTCTCAACTTGTACATAATGGTCCTCGGCGCGCTCCATACACGCGCCAACCCCATCCCCCACACACCCTTCTGTAATCGACGCCGAGCTTGATGCAGCAGCCGGATATACATGGCCGTTAATGCAGCGCGGACGTCGGATATCGAGCGGAGCTTCTTAATTACGAGGTCGACAAGCTTCGACGAGAACGGCATGAGTGCGCAAAGCCGATCCTTCTCGCATAGTTTGAGTCAAAACCGACGGAATAATGGCCGGGTGACGCCGAGAGAACGTCGCTGTTATAGAATAGCGCGCGTTGCACCAGTCGTCCATTAGAGCTGAATTAAAGACGAGGAACTCTGACTCCGATCATATTCGGGTACATTCGAGTGAATATTGCACTTCGCTGTAATACCGGAGCTTCATAAATTAAACGTATAGTTTTCTACGCAAAGGCAGTCGCAGCATGATGAGAATAATTAGGAGATATAAAAAAAAGTAGAATCTTTTAAGTCCAATCTTCCGCGATGGCATATTAGAATATAGGGAAATGTCGATTTTCATCGATCACATTCGCCACGTCCGGAGCTCATCGAGCGTATGTAACTTCCACCGTCTCGACTCGTTCCAACGCTATGAGACAGTAACAGGCGAATAGCGGAAGCGACGTTTCGAGACGAGTTAGCCCCGGCTAACCCGGACCAGGCTCTCCGTCATCAAACCGTCTATCCAGCCTGGATGCCGGGAGAGAGAGAGAGAGAGAGAGAGAGAACGACCGCTCTACTCTCACCGCACAACAGCCGCAGCGTCGATGCAGGCCATTACACGCGCGACCGGACACGAATAATTGTGCAACACGCTTAACTGATCCCATTCACCCTGATTCTACCCGCTCCCGTCCGCTCTCGCCGCCGACTAACCCCGCGCGCACCCCCGACACCAACCCCCGACGCCATGTGTACCAGCCGCAATAGCCAACGTCACCGCCAATGCTACCAGCGATCCACCAACAGTATAGCCGAGAAAAAATCGAAACGATCGAAACAACGATCTGTCGATCAAATAACGTCTCTTCTCTTGATTCCGACTTGAAATTATTCTCGAAAAGAATTCTAGATTGATTTCTGGTTCACTGATTTCAAGAAATTCGAATATTTATATACTCTCTTTCTCTCTATAGGTTCTATATTTTACTATTTCATTATTTTAAGAACATTTTAAAAATACGTTGTCGTTAATAGAACAATGCTTGTCACTTTAGAAAAAATGATAATTAGTAAATATATTGAAAAGAGTGAGATATATTTCCTTATCATTAATAGAGTGATGTTTGTCACTTGAGAAAAAATATATGATAAATATTAAATACATTAAGAGATGAGATATATATTATAGAGCGATGCTCTCAAATGTAATCTCGCAACTGTTCGGCGCATTACACGCTTGATGACAAGAGCGCGTGCTAGACGTTCTGATTGATCATCCTGGAACCCCCAACATTTCCTATCAACCTCTTCTTCATTCGGTTCCTAGGAGCACACCGACAAGAGCGAGTTTGTTCCGCAAGCCGATGGATAACGACTTGTACGCGTGCCATCCCCCTCGGTATTCCTGACGAGCAGTCGATAGGGGAGAGGGGGGATACTGCCAGTAGAGAGAGCGTCCTCAGAGGAGCCAGACGAGGACGATCGACCTTTGAGGATATTTCGCGCGGTCGAGAAGGGAGGTTGGGCGGGCAGGATGTTTGGTAGATGGACGGACGTACAACCGGAGAGGATTCTTCGGGTTTTCGGGGAAGGGCGATCAGCGCCCGGGAGAGGGTGGACAATGCCGAGGTCCGCGTAATGGACCGATTACCCCACCCAGCCGATCGTATTGACGAGACTTTGATTAGGGTCGAGTAGCCGGATCCGACGGGTAAGTACACTCGACCGGCTGCGCGCCACGATAAGTCGACGGCGGATTACGCGTAAACTTATACCGTATCCAATCAATGGTATGGCGCCAACGCAGCGGGAAATTTATTCGCACGTCGCGAATTTATGCGCGAGACGAGAGGGAATCGTGCGTGCAACCTTGAGGAATTTGCGTAATCTGCTCATCTAAACTCGCTTCATTCTAGTCTACAGTATCTATAGCGAAGTACAATCAATCAAAATGTTTGATTTCAAATATTAATCACCTGACAGTCGGCATGTTCCTGAATTAAATATATCTTACAACTGACTTGTTACTTACGCTGGGAATATTGTCGTTATTGCAAACGCCCTCTTGCAAAAGTCGATCGCGAATCTCCCAGGCGAAGATCGAGGGACATTCTCGTTTGTAGTCGGCGATTTTGTTGACCACAGGCGTCGTCGCCACTCGTGGCTTGCTACCGCCAATCGCCCGCGGCTTGATCGAGCCAGTCTCATAATACCTGCGAAAAGAACAATTATTATTTTCACTTAATGCGTATTACATCGTAGCGAGTCTTTTAAGCATAGCATAGTTATCGGAAAAAAAAATGCGAGTCTTTAAACGGGAAATCAGTGGATGAAAGCTAGCTTTATATCAATACTCCGCAATTTGCAGGAACTATGTTACATTCACGAAGATATTGCTGTATGAAAAATGGAAATATAACGTAACATTCGTTTATTATTATATATCCAATTATTTTTAAATCTGTAACGTCAACGAATCGCTAAAAATAGAAGAAAATCCTGTGAATTCTCTCGCAAATTTATCGATTGGCCGTTAATTGCCTCGAGGAGATACAAGCAGTTGTGTCTTGTGGCCATTGAACCCGATTTATCGAATCAGCTAGTATAGACAATAGCATATCAAATTCCGTTGCTGCTCAAGTATCGCAGAACGGTTTAATTTCCTGAACGCGTTCGTCCCACGATTTCGAAGGGAGATCAACATCCGCGGCGCGGTACTTACCTGCCGAGGATCTTGGAGACGCATCCATTGCTGACCTGCAGTATGCGCGATATGTCGCACGGTCTGGCCCCGCTGTGGGCCAGCTCGACGATCTTCTGCCTCGTGGAGTCCGGCAGCGGTCGGCCGTTGACGTAAACGCCGCCGAGCTGGTTAACCCCGCTGTGTCCTGCAGCCGAGCACCCAAATATTGAGTTCTGTCCGACCATAGAACCCCCGCCAATACCCGCGCCACCCCCGTGCATCAAGTCCTCCTCTGTGAATCAAAACGCGCGCAAACGTATACGTCACCTCGCCAGAACATCTGATTGGTAAACAGCGGGATAGTACACCGCGCCGGTATATACGTGCGTTCTTATTAGTCTAATTAGCGCTCGCGCCCGTCGCACGGATCCGGAAGCGTCAGATTGAACGCCAAGGGAGATGTTTGCGTCGCGATCACACGGTCCGCCGCCCTGCGGATGTCACGTAACGAAGATCAGTTTGACCCTTGCGCGCCGATTAATTCGCGCTGCCGTGTACCTTATTACGGTTAACATCTGCGTACGATCTGTGTAACGTGCGCGCGGAGGAGTCGCCGAAACGGAAATCTATCGCGTAGATATACGTGCGACGTGTTGACGACGACGGTAATTGCGACGCGAATGGACAATGCGGCAGGTCTAACGAATAGATATACGGTACGGTATCGTGCAATTCGATCATTACGTGGGAGGCTTCAGAAATTGTACCGTTGCGATACAACTTACAATGCAGACGCATATGTATATATACATGTATATCATATATATGAACGAAAATGCATTCGATTTGCCCAGAGAGTACAGTGTCAATGACAAAAACAATTTAAAAGACCCTGGATCTCTCATGGTGAACAAAACGGCTTTTCACATACATGTCCTAATGCGGGCAAAAATTTTAGCTTGTCTCATCACTGTTAAATTCCCGCGGTGCGTCGTCGCCGACGCGAGGAAAAAGATGCAACGAGAGAGTGTCGTAACGGCGCGCGCGCGCGCGAATGACGGGAGACTCGAGAGGAGCCGGCGTTACTAAATGCATCTTGCAATTAACAAATTTAATTAATCCCCGCTTTTACGCCGCGCAAAACGACAAGAAATAGTTGGAATGTAATCTTGGATGGCTCGCTCCGCCTTTGTCGCTGTGCGAAATCCACTTCGTATAACGACACGAAGTGGTTTTCTCGCTCTCGCTGTGTCCCGCCGCCTGTCCCTTCCTCTCTCGTCTTACCTCCTTCTGTCCTTACGCCATTTCTGTCGTACCTCATTTTCACCGATGCGAAAGGATCGAAGATCGCTGCATCTTACGATCAATCGACATTGTAAAAATGTGCATGGAAGGACGGAAGGTCCTTCGACAGAAAATCATGACGACTTTTCAGAAGATAATAATTCTTCATGATTGCCATCATTGAATCAGATTGAGTTAATTCGTGAAGTTTTTATATTGTAATATATGTAAAATAATTGTGTTTTATACGTAAATGCGATATAGAAGTACTTGTACAGTTTTAAAAATTCTAAAAATTAATGATAAATGTTTTAAAATTATTTTATGGGACTTTTATAATTGACAATGCAAATTTTGTGTTTTATTAATTTCTATATTGATTCACCTCTGGCGGATGGCTTTTTTTATCCGTAACTATCTCTGTTGGCAATAGATCCGTTCTACAATTCTCTACTTATTGCGGAAGGTTTCCTCGCTTCAGTCGTCCCTGCATTATAACCAGAGCTTTTTAAGCGAGCTTCAAGCATGCTGAAAGGAATGGAATATGGTGATGAAGAACGAGAAGCGAGAAATTGGAGTCGAGAGTCTTGTTACAAATAATTCCGCAGCGAGGCAACGCGGAAATTTTCGAGAGGATGCTTCTTACCCCTCCATTTTATCCTACCCCCTGCATCCGGATGCTGCGATTCGCGAATGTAAGAAGAGAGAAATAACGTCATCTTTTTTAGGACGCGATATTATAACTGCATTTAATTTCGCGATCCCCTTACGCGACAAAATATTGATAAAAGTTTTGAAATATATTGAGAAGTATTTTGCAAAGTTTTCGAGGAATCTAGGAAAAGCTCGAATAAATTGGATCGGTACACGACGACCGATTAAGAATGTCAGAATATAATATCAATGATTTTGCAGAGATGGAATTTGATCTTCGTTATCAACTTGTCGGTCGTAGTCGTCACCCCGTTTTCCGCGAACTCTGTGCCTCGGTGAGTTTCATAAAGTTCTTTTGATTACGCACACGGCGGAAAGTAGATGATAGCGGTAAGAGCGAGACATTTTCCTCAAACCAATTAGAGCGACACTCTCCGCAATTTCTTTTACGATGAGCTAATGAATATTCATCCTTTGCTCGAATTAATAAAAGCGTATAGATTCGCGGATACGTACAGCTGTCACGTTTATATAGAGCAACATACCATCACGAATTATAATATTCCGTCATAATATAATATACCAAAGAGTATCTTAATTCATTAATTTATTTCGTGTATTGCGATTTTCAGATTATAATTGGTAAAGTACTATTCAGATATAGACAAGTATTATCCGAAGACACTTGGTCTCGTACTTTTCTGAATCACTTTTTCAACAAAGTAATTTGTGTTAAAAATAAGCGACGGTGAAAGCGAGGACGCGTCGCGCCGCGCCGCGTCTCGCCTTTGAAGGGACGGCGCACAAGTCTGTGCTGTTTTTCACAAGTTTAATTCGTTACAAAGGGGACAAGTGTGCGCGACTTAGCTGTAGCACGTATACGCGCGCGAGATTCACCCTTTCGCTCATCGTCTTTTGCCTCACGCTCTCCTCCCCAGAGCGGGGGGGAGGGAGGGACGGCCACCCCCGACAGAGGGGGATGATGTCGGCGAGAGGGCTCGAATATCGCTCGAGCCCGACGCCGTCGACCCGTGCACACACCCGCCGCGCCGGCCGCACACATTCTTTATATATAATTTCGCGTTAATCTACGCGGCGGTGCGGCGCAAAAGCGAGTAGCGCCGCAAAGTGAGGCAAAAAGGTTCCGCTTGGCTGAGCGTGAAACGGGACACAGATTAAATCCCATCCTGTGCAACCCCGGCGCACGACGTCGCGGCACCCTCGTCCTCCCCGACCCTCCCCGCGTCAGTTCGCTCGGTCGAGCCACCCCTTGCCCACCCTCGCCAAACACGTCCCCCTCCCCTCCTCGATCTCCGCGCCGGGCGAGAGGCGGTCTTTAAGCGCGAAAACGATCGCCGGGTATTTAAAATGCGCGAATAGACGCCGGCGAATCGATGTAACACCTCACGCGAGTCGATTTTGCAATTGGGTCCTCAATGGAATTTTCGCCAGGTCTGCTTGACAGCGGAAGTTAACTGAAAGATTTATTTGCCTGGAGATCTTGGATTTCCAAGTGCGTTTCTAAAAAGTCGCAAAAAGTCGCGAAAGTACGCACGGCACGGTCCGAAATTCTCGAAACACTTGATCAATTTCGTGAGTCATTGTGTACGTACTCGTAGACGAACAAACATTAAACCCGTTGGAAAGGAACGATTGATCGTTACCCGATAATAGAAACAAAACAGCTCAACGGAGCGGCTAATGCGCCACTCCAATTTCCAACGATGACGGAAAGTTTGCAGCGGAATAGTTGTTTAATGGGATGTAATAATAGTTTGCGGGTAATTAGTCCCGCGCTGCGACTCGAAACCGGCCGAACGTAATCAGTTACAGAGTGTGCCGGTCCGAATTCATTTAACGAACTGCTGTTTATCCGTCGACATCCATAAAAAATATCGCTTTCGCGGCCAAATTGCTTTTGCCTCTCGTCGTTGCGCGTCGCGCATACGCTAAATAATATAATTATGCCCGCCGACCGCATTAATTAGACACATAAATCGTCCAACTCTCTGAGCTTGATATAATAGGAGCGATTACAAAACAGATATTTCGGTTGGCGGTAATACAAAACGTATTATTAGACTCTGCCAGTGAAAAATAAAAAGAGACCATGTGGAGTCTGCTGGTTTTGACGGCATTATAAAAGCGCGTACAATCGGGAATTAACGAACATTCACCGTGGCTCAATTATCCAATCATTTACATTGGAAATTAAGATAAACGTGACCGCAAATAACTAATAATTTGATAAATAATTTATAACGGAAGTTGTTTTAGTTCACTATAAAAAATTTACTCCAAAGCTGTCGTCGCGCGTTAACGCTTCTCGCTGAAACATTTACAAGATTTAGTCGCGCTTATTTCCGGTGATATAGCCCGGAGTCTGTTATGCGGCATAACGTCGGGGACGGTCTGAAGTCGACGCGTTTGTCGAGTGTCAACCGGCTAAACGTTATTATCACGTCGGTAGAGATGAGCAAACCGGGGGGGGGGGGGGGGGGGGGGGCGCAGTCGGGGCACAGCCTCCGAGCGTTTCGTGATAAACTCGCCGAGTACTACGGAGTGAGAGAACTTCATCTCATGCGTCTTTCAACGACATCAAAGATGGCGTGCCAGGCATACGCTCTCTAATGAGTTGAATCGCGGTAAGAGCGCCCGCGCCCGCTTCCCGAGCGACGACGAATTCATTACGGACGGTGTTAAGAGGCGACGGCGCAGTATTAGCAGCCGCCATCCCCCCGGTAGCGCATACTCATTACCCGCGCCCGTTATTATTGACACCAAGTGTGTAAGGCAGTCATGCAAGTGTGTGTCGTCTTCCCCGTAGCTTTTCGCGGGTAAATACCGAACTCATGGCCGCTGGGGTTAGTAATCGTACGTGCGCCTTCGTTACTATTCACAGATAACAAGATGCCTCACGCGGGAATACGCGAGATAACGCGATAATCTTGACGCCCGTTTGCGCAACGGTTAAACAAGTTTTGCGCCCGGTAAACGGGATAACGGACCGTGAAATCCCAGCTCGATAAACGCGCAATGCGAAAGGAGCTATTGTCGTAACGAGCAAAGGCGACAGCAATCCTTAATATCATCGAAGTAATTGGCCTGTCGTTCGTATGTAGTCCGTCACACATTACTTTTAAGCCTTTCGCATACGTAAACTAGTTGGCTTCATCGTTCTCCAATCGCGAATGAAAAATGTCGTGAATGTCTGGCAAAAGATTTAATAGCTTAATTAACGGCCTTTAATGAATCTTTAAGATTTAATGATTGATTAATAGCTTTTCGTACACAAAGTGTGTCCCAGAATTCGCGTGCAATTATTTTTAAATTAACGGAATGTCTCGTATACCGTATCTTCCGCTAGAATGTACCACGCAGATCAAAGAGCCAAACTGGCGTGTTCGAAGTTCCCCTACATATACCTATACGGGCAAAAGTTATCGGCGTGCCTCGCGGACGTATTGCGGAGCCGTGGTCTCTATTGATTGGTCGCGGGGATAATCCCGCGCCGCCGACATTTATTACCCCCTTGGAAGCAGCGGAGGCAGGTAATCTCCGCAGCCTCTCGCTGTGCCCTGGCACGCGTGAGATCCGATCCCAGAGCCCGTAACCAACGCGCGGGGCCCATAACCATTAACAAATCTCGTGTAGCAACGAGAACGAAATAAAGCGCTCTTGAATCGGCCGTTTGATTCCAATAGCTACCGGGGTTTTTATGGAGAACCGAAGTAAGAGGAAACGCGCGCGTTCTCTCTCTCTCTCTCTCTCTCTCTTTCCCTGATATATATACATTACGTAGGAGAAAAAGAGAGAATGCGAGAGGAGGTAGACTGGTGGTTGGACGAATGAAAGAGGGGCGCGCTCGTGCCACGCGAGCATTGTCCGCCTCTGAAGCTATACACGAATGCGAGGAGGGGGCATTATAGGAAGAGAAAGCGGGGGGAGGGGGGAAGCACTTACCCTCCTACAAGTCCCATTATGATCTCGCGTGGGCCATAGTCGCGTAACGCGATCCCGCGTCTCCGCGTTTTCGAGCGAAGTGTGGGTAACTCCTCGACCGGAGAAAGATTACGTTGCGTCGAGACAAATTGGCGGTGTAAGCGACCCCCCCGCTTATTGTCGGGGGGTACGAAGGAAGGGAGATTCGTGCCAGCCTAACCGATTGTTGCCGGGTGTGGTGCGCGCGTTTGGGGGTCGCGAGGACGAATCTCTCGAGGTGCAAGAGGGCCTCCACCCTTCGCCGCGCCGGAGTCGCTGACGAAGGGACCGCTGGCCCGACAGAAGCCGACCAAAGGCGTGTCAAGTTACCAACTAACCCCCGGGGGTAACCGCGAGCTCACCTAAGCTCATAAGCGGACGCGTATTTACTCGTCCCTTCTCTCGTATAACTCATCACGAGTTCGCTGGAAGGGCTGCGAACTTATCGAAACCATCTACCTTAAGAAAACTTTGATCCGCGTATGTTACGACTTCCTTGTCGCCATTAGATTAAGGGTAATGTGAAGGGTAATACGATGAACACACACGGAGCAACTCGCGTTCAAGTATCTACCTGCTCGAGTATCG